CGCCCTGAGGTGCCCCATCAACTGATCTCAGGGCACCTCCCGAGCGTCCACTCTGTGCTGAGCATTGTGCTAAGGGGCAGGGACACGCCCATGAGCACAACCCTCTGCTCTCGTAGAGCTTGTGTGTTCAGGTCGATACACTGTTTTATGACGCCAGCCAGACGAGCCTCTGTCATGAATCCACACAACAGCTGGCTGGGGAGGGTCATGGGCCAGAGTGCCTCCAGGCAGAGCCCGAGGCAAGGACTGGGTAAGTATGATTTTCGGAGGAGCAGTGTCGTTAGGGGAAAAGAGGGAGAGGGAAACACTGGAGCAGGGGGAGGAGCTAAGCAAGAACGGGGTCTCAGCGGGACTCAACTTCAGTCTGGTCCCGCAACTCCGGAGCATGAGTTGTACCATGGAGTTGGTCCCAGCGCCAGGCAAGAGGGCTGGCCTTAGGCGCCCCTGTGCCGGTCACTGTGTGGCTGTGAGCCTCCCTGGGTGGGCTGCGGGTGTAATATTCCAGGCCAAGGGGCTCCTATTCTGCCAGGACAACTCTCTGAAGTGGGCAGCTGAGTCATGAATGACCAATACTCCCAGCAGTTGGGGTTGGGTCCACTGACCTGGTGAAGGCATCTGGGGGGGCGCGGTGGGCACCAAGAGTGTCCACTACAAAGGGGACAATGTTGGCTGCCTTTTCAATGTAGTGCGTAAGGCCTGTTTACATACTGGATAGCAGCTTTATTTCAATTCTTCAATTCTTCAATTAGTTAAACTATACAACCAGAGAGCAAACTAATAGAAATAATAATAAGATGAGGAGATGACTCAAAACTCCCTTTAAACCTTTCCCAAGGAACTCGGTGCTTCTTTTAGAAAACAACAATCATAAAACGAAGGCCACTTTGTAAGCTGAGTCTTTCTCAACGCGGCCCAGGGCATGGAGGGAAGTTAAGGGAATGAGGTTGGGTAACGCGAGATGTGCTCGATGGGTGGAGAGGGCCGTGTCTACCAGGAGACCTTGGCTCCCCGAACTCAGGAGCCCTGCCCGATGAAGTCGAGACAATTACAGCCATTAATCCTCTCTCACTGAACGCTCGTAATGGAATAAAATGGGAGCTGAAAACTCCAAATCTGATTTGTCGGTAATGGATGAAACGCTCCATCCACAGGGTCATCCGCTGCAGATCAACAACAGCAGCATCTTCTGCTTTCTCCAGTTTCAAGTGACTTCACTCACCAGACGCTGCAGCTTCACCGACCGCAAAAACCTTACAGGCATTGAGGGGATGTTGAGCCACCGCCCGCTCGCCTTGAGAGAGAACAGGAAGCCTCGGGAGCCCAGAGTCCCACGGCCGGCCATCAGGGCGGGGACAGGAGGCTTGCACCCGTGGACGGGAGAAACGGCAGCGCTGGGTGTTGTGTGAGGGGCGGACGTGAACACACACCGCGCTCCCTCCTACACCCGCAGCGCGCTCCCTGCTCCTCCGTCGTATTTGTGGGTGCAACTTCGCCATGAGGGAGGCTTCTGCCCGGGAAAGCAGCTGAAACATTCATTACGTGAACTCCCTTAAAGACATGTCAATGCCGCTCTGGGAAGCATCAGCAGAAAGCTTACTCCCTAAAATGCCGAGAGTCCAATTCTAAGCCATTGTGTTACGCTCTTGACCCAATTCTAATCAAGCGTCTCCCTAAAAGACTTCCGATTCTCCATAACCCCAGCTTGGCCTTTGCCCCCTGTCGGCCCAGCAGCGCTCTCTTGCGCTGGTGTGCTTCCGTGTCTCTCACTGCCAAATCAGAGCGCCGGTCAAGGTCAAGGTCAAGGTGGCCCTCCATGACTCTCCTTTCGGGCATCGGGCACTGCTCCCTCCCTCACCCATTCACCCATTTATGTCTAGTAGTGAGGCCGCCCCTTGCATCTCCCTCTGCCCTGACCACAGCTTCGCACAGAGTGCTTTGTTAAACCATTCTAGAATTACACCATTCCGGTGGACCAATTGTTTCCTGACTGTAGCAACACCTCCACATTTTTAAAAAAAAATTTTTAAAGTATTTTGGCAAGCCTCATCAAGAAAAAAAAAGAAAATACATGCACATTAACATCAGTGAGGAGAAACGACAGCAAATATGGAAGAGTTTGTAAAGGATAAAGCAATGACATGAAACTCCATGGGAATACATTTGGAAAACTGGAAAAAAGTGAATAATTCCCTAGGGCTGATGATAAAAATTGGTTTAAGACAAAGAAAACAGCCAGAAAAGAAAAGGCAGCTAAAGATCTGCCCTAAACAAAATACCAGGGGGCTGAGCGGTTAAACAGGACAGGAGAATTTCCGTGTTACGTAAACTGTTCTACGTACGACTCAGAAGGGGCCAGGCATCTTCCCAGCGCAGCTACGATCCTGGCGTAAATCCAGCACTAAAAGTAGTGAATTAGAAGAAAACGATCCATCGATTCTATGCAGGAATATGGATGAAAAACTATCCTAATAGAATACTAGCAAATTGAGCCTAGCAGTGGATTCAAAGAATAATATATTATGGGTTCATTCCAAACATGGAAAGATGGTTCAACATTATCTATTGCTGTAACTCAGTGTAGCAAGAGATGAAAGGGGAGAATTACTGTCTCACTAAATGCTGAAAAGCCATGTGACAAAACTCAACACCTATTCCTATATTAGTTTAGTTTTTTTAAAAAAAGCATCTCCTAGTAAAATGGAAATGAAAGGAAACTCCCTTGACTTGACGATGTGTAGCTTCTAGAAATTTGCAGCCAGCAAGAAGGGAGGAAGAATGAGCCATATACCACAGAACTCCAAGAAGCAGGGCCTTTGGGTTTTTCCATTGAATTTACTTATAGTAGATAATGTCTCATGCTTTAAAATTCAAAAGGCATAAAATGGTATAGAGTGAAAACCTATACCATTCCTCTTCCCCGGGCCATCTGCCAGCCACCCAGCTGCCCTCCCAATAAACAAAGAATATCATGCTCTTCTTGGTTATCCTTCCAAGACTGGTCTGTGCATTTGCTGGCAAATTCTCAATTATTTGTTTTACAATGGTAGTAAACACTAGTTCTTATTTTTTTGTAATATATTGCTCCATACTGGTACGTGGAAAGCTTCCTTATTTTTTTTTCCTGGCTAGAAAGCATCACATTAGATCAGTATTGCATACATGTATCCACCTAGCCCTCCTCCCCTGAGAGATACCTGGGTTGTTCCAAACTTTTGCTGTGACAAACAAGGCCGCTGTTAATAAGCTTTACACGTGTGTCATTTTGTGTATGCATGTGTGTGTATGTGTAAGATTGTGTACTAAAGAATTTGGCCTTGCCTAAAGAGATGGTCTGGCTTCTGCCCTCCACTTCTGAAAGGCACTCTGCGCTGTACTGGATAGCAGGGTCTTCGTTCGGGGCTTGGACCTGCCCGAAGCATCAACCGCGTGACTGAGGATGGGGGCTTCAGCTCACACAGCACTGGTCAGCCTGGGCCCTATGTTCATTCAAATGTTAATTGCCTGTTTTTGTGGTTCAGGTTCTTCATTCTTCTGAATATGGTATGAGATGTATTTTCTTTCTCTTTCAAAAGTGTGATTCGGCTGCCTTTTACTTCGCAAAGCTGCCTGCCTGCTTTATTCCCTGCGGATCAGATGCTCTTGACAGGACGGAAGAGAGCTCCCGGTCCTCGTCTGAGTGAGTCACCCTGCACGTTCTTCCCAGAGGGGGAGGCTTCCCACTCTCTCGGGAACCCGTGCTTACTCACTCCCAACCTTGCGGCATGCCCCGCGCCTCCTGTCCCTTCTCTCCATATAATTTCCCTTCTCTTTTTCCCACCGTGGCTGTGGATGTCACCAGAGACTTTTTATCTTGTTTCTGGTTACTGCACTTCCTGACTTTGCCCCCACGGTATCTGTCCCTCCCTCATCTCTTGAGGTTCTTACAGCTGTGGCCCACCTGCCCCCAACTGAGTAGGCCCACTCCTACGGACCGCCTGGTCGACCTAGAGGGTCTAGGAGCCACCTGACCCCTGGGGACAGTTCTTCTCACCTTGTCAGAGCTGCCCAGTGAGTTGTTTCGGTCCGTGACAAGTCAAGGAGCACATTCAGTCACATTTCCAGAAACTTCCTATGAAAAGAGTTGCAGAAGGTCATTGTTGACAGCTCTTGACACCTTTAATAATTCATTGCATGGGCCCAATCAGAGCAGAAACTGGATTTTATTTCAGTTCTGTAAATGCCAGTGAGGTCCTAGGCCCACTGGAGGTCCCAGCTGGAAAGATAACTTCAAAGGGAGTTTCCAGCTCCAGAATGTATGATCCCAAGTCCTTTGGTGAGTCGGGATCACACAAACTAAAGAGCATCTCACCCATGAGCCCCTGTTGGCCTCACTGTTCCTGTCTACACTTTCTGAACGTAGCTTGCGCAGACACGTGATAGGCAGTCAAAAGTTTTGATGTTTGAGTGAATGAATAAATGAATACACAGAGGATGCTAACAGACTACCTATTGGGTGGTGGATGCGGCCAGTGACACTGACAGTCAGGGAGTTGCGAGGACTAATTGAGCTCATCTCCTCTGCAATTAAGCAGGGCAGCCTTTGGGACCTTATTCCTCTTCCCCAGCCCTCCCCCACCTCCGGCTCCTCCACCTGCTGAACCTCATCCTTGGGAATGAATCCTCAGAGCCCTGGGGAAAGTGCTTCACACGCACTGGATGAAACACGCTGTGCTTAATAACCAGTGCGGCTGCTCCCGAACTGCATCTTGTCTTTGCCAATATCCGTAATTGACTCTTAGGAAAACCAGCCGCCAGACTTACCATCAGCTCTGGGAGACAGTTCCGTTGTCAAGTGCAAGGGCAGAACACTTGGCGTGCAGTCAGCATTCCTCTGATCCACAAAGTGGCAGCAAATATAAGAAAATGAAATCTAAGGCTCATGACAATGACAAGGGAGAAAAAGTGGTAGTTATTGTAAATTTGTTGGGTTTTCATTTAATTACATGCTTAGGTTTTTTAAAAAAAATACAGAATGCTTCACGAATTTACACGTCATCCTTGCACAGGGGCTGAGCGAATCTTCTCTGTAGCGTTCCAATTTTAGTATCCATGTTGCCAAAGTGAACATGGTTTTTTTGTTTTTTGTGTGTGTGTTTTTTTCCAGAAAAAATTGTCATCAAAGCAAAGGTGACTATTGATGATCTCAAGAAATTGTGACATTGTATTAATTTTCCGCAAAGGTCACTTTATTGCATTGAGTTTAAATGTATTCTATTGGACCGTGAGAGCTACGTACCTCTGCAGATTTTCTTTTTGCCTTACTTCCCTTTAAACTAATATTAATTTTCATAAAAACAATACAAGCAAATGATCTTTGGAACAATACACAAGGGAAAAAAGTGCTGGTTGCCTTGGCGAAGGAGAAGTAGGTGGGAAGGTGTGGAAAAGAAGGCAAACGTTTTACTGTGCTGTTTGAATTTTGAAACGTGAACATACTTTCTATTGTAAAAAATTAATAATAAGGTAACACAGGCACATACTTTAAAAATTAATAGTATTAAAAGACAGGTCTCTGCCCTCCCTCTCCCCACCCCACCCTGTCCTTCAGAAGCCTCGCTGTCAACTCTTTTTTTTTAAGATTTTATTTTATTTATTTTTAGAGAGGGAAGGGAGGGAGAAAGAGAGAGAGAGAGAGACATCAATGTGCGGTTGCTGGGGGTCATGGCCTGCCACCAGGCATGTGCCCTGACTGGGAATCGAACCTGAGACACTTTGGTTCGCAGCCCGCGCTCAACCCACTGAGCTACGCCACATTGTCAACTCTTTTGGTGGCTGCTTCTTTTACGTATTCTCACATTTTTAAGTTGGATGTTCTTATCCCTACTTCTAACCTTATCGGTTTCAGTTCTGTTCATTTCTAAACACGGTGTTTGGAAATTTAGTTCTCTTATACCCCATGACCTTCTGCTTCTTTGTCTTCTTCTTTGCAATATGGTTATATAATCACTTTTTGGTTTAAAAAGTAGCCGATGTACGTTTTGTTCACTGGTGAGCCAAGCGGTTCTATGATCTACTTCTTCCTCTCACAGCTTTCTATTTTTTCTCCAGTTTTTATTTGCTTACTTTTCTGGATATTTTTTTCAAGTAATCCAACAGATCTGTTACATGTCTAACAGTAATTTTTTCCAAACACCCAAGCACCTCAAATTTCCCCCAGAATGCTTTTTTCAATTCTGCCCTCTGGAGGTTATCAAGGCTGGTCATCAGCGGCAGCCTCCGAGGTGGTTCCCTCCCTCCCTGAGCGCCTTTGTTCGCCCCAGCTCTCCACCGAGACTCTGGTGCCAGCGCAGTCCTACTTGGAAAAAGGTCAATTAAATGCTGTTTCCTCCAGGGAGGGGCCCGCCCAAACACCCTGCGTGTTCTTCCCTTTGCACTTCCTCTCCTGCTTCTCAAGGTAAGTGAAGCTCCAGGTATAAATATGTGTCATCCATACGAGAACACATTTCAGCGTCGCAGCTGGCTTCAGCAGCAGACACGTGACTGTGTCTGTGCCTAGTGCCGTAGGGGATGCCCAGCATCAGACACACTCCCCAAGGTCAAAGACTTTGCAGTCGGGTTTATCTGCCATAGAGGTGAACAGTCACTAATAGTTACCAAGAGCTACAATACTGTTCCTTCGCTTTCCACCTCTGACAGATGCTTCTTTCATACCTTAAACGTAATAGTCTTTGTTCAGTTTTCCATTTGTTCTCTCCTTCTGTCTCTCTCCTCTGTTGCCCTGTGTAAGCACGAACATCTTACTGCATGATCCAAGTGTTTTTGTAATTTGAGGGGAAACTCATTTCTCCTCCAAAGCTTTCTATCTGCATAACCTTTAACCAGTTGGTTAATCTTATGACACTTCAGTTTTTTCATTTGTAAAATGAAAATGAAAATAAAAATTATCTATTTAATTTGTCGTGAGCATTAAATGAGAAGACCAGTGGGAAGAATTTAGCATGTTTCCTGACACTTGGTAAGCAGTCAATACATATTAGTTATTGTTCCTATATTGGAATTATTACTTTTTACCATCGTCATCCTCGTCTCTGGTCTAGAAGGGAATCTCAGTGCACGACTTCGCCGTCTCCTAGTATTCAGTGTTGCTCTGAAGAAGTCTGAAAGCAATCTGATTTCCATTCCTTTGTAAGTGAACTAGCTGTTCTCTCTCTCGCCAATCTGCTCTCCATCACCAGTGTTTTGAAAATTCACAATGGGGTGCTTGTCTGCCTCTTTTCTCGTCTATTGTGCTGGGCGCCCACTTTAGTACTTTCAACCCAGACCTTATTTTTCTCCAAATTCGGGATTTTGCTTATGTCACTTCTTCCTTTCTCTACCCCCCCCCCATTTTCCCTGCTCTATCCCTGAATTCTGCAACAAACACCATAGGATTGTTCAGTATTCAGAAGCCCCCAGTAGGTAGAGGGTCTCTGGACACAAAATTTAATTTTAGTCTTTTACCTTTTCAAAGAAATGTATGTAAAAGATGAGTAACCCAATAGAAAAACATGAATAAACGATACATACTCCCAGCTCGCCAAAACAAACAAGAACGGCACATGGCCAATAAAATAAAAAACAATGCCAAAAATTACTGTCAATGCTTGGATAAGGTTACATCATTCTATCTTTGTTATAAGAAGAAAGGTGGAAAATTTTACGTTTCCCTAGATTTTATATTCTCACTGTTTTTTTTTCCCTCAAGTCAACAAGTACCATCTCTCCCCGGGCCCATTATAAGTTTTTCCTGTTATCAGAAGAGCAAGGCAGGCTTACAATTGCAAAACAAAAACAAACTCAAAGACAGAAGAGCCTAAATACATTCACGTCTTTAGTCTTCCTACCTGTCTCCTCTGCTTCCCATTATCCACGGTCTGGTTTATGTTGGTATCGAGTCCACATGAATATCTGTGCTGTCCGTGAAATGACCCACGTCGCTTTCACTGTGGTGGCCGCAGAGCCTGACATTGCTATATTTAAAAGCAACATGATACCTCACAATTAAAACGAACATTTTAAAAATTGAAAGGCTAGGCCAGCAGGCCCCATGTCACAGCTTCTGACTTTGCTCTGGAATCATGTTTAAATTGCATTATTCAGAGGAATGCAGTTAGCTCCCTCCTCAGCTCTGCAAAGAACGAGAGGAGACAAAGGAATGTAAAAATGGAGGAACATGAGGAAGGCCTGGAGGATGAAATGTGGTTTTTTTTTGTCTCCCTGTCATCGGCTAGACGGAATTTTGTCTCCCTGTCACCGGCTAGACTGTAGGGTGGGACCCCAAAGAGCCTGTCGCAGTCCTGTCTCATCAACACGTGACGTAACCTGACTGTATCTGAACCCATTTTAAGACCTTTGTATTCTTTTGGAAAGTTCCACCTGTAGTCTTATCAGATCCTTTGTAATACACCCATATCATAATAACTTATTGAATGTCTACATTGTCCTAGGCATTGTTCTGGGAACTTTTCATACATTAGTAAACAAAATTAAGATCCCTGCCATTCTGGAGACTTGATTCAATATAACTTATATACAATTAAGGAAGAGTCAGGTCCAGTTGAGTATAATTGAATGGTTGGCAGGCATGTTACATTAAGTAGACACTTCTATTAGTTAGGTTAGGCTAGACTATGCCGAGATAACGAACCATCCCTGCAATTTCAATGGCTTAACATAACACCAGGTTATTTCTGACTCACTCCCTGCCAAGTGCGGGTCGGAGGTGCTGTGCTCTGTGTAGTCACACTTGGGACCCCAGACTTCCAAAGGCATCGCCACCTGGTAGCTGCACCAGTGAGAACAGATGACTTCCTCAGTCTCCGTGACTGGGAAGGCGTAAGCTGAAGAGTCACATGCTGGCTTTACAATGAAATGTCCGGTACCAGGGACAGAGGCTACTTTCAGTCATACTCAACAGCCCAAACCAAGCACATGGCCCCACCTACCTGCAAGGGAACTAGGAAACATGGGGCCGCCTGAGGCTATTTGTGAAGCAGTATATGTCCCTTCCACAAAACTTATTTAATATCTATTGATTTTGTTTTGCAGTTTTCCTTGTGTATTTTTGAGCCAATAAATGTTCTTTCAGGGACACACATATTTGCATGAAGAGCCACATGCTCTGAGCGCTGTTCTGTAATTATAATAGTTTGTATTTACTGAGAGCTTGTTGTATGCCAAGCACCTTATAGGACCTTCTGTGTGTGTGTGCGTGTACACGTGCAGCACATTCCCACCGGCCCTGTAACGTAAGCACGGCGCCTGCGCCCCTCCTGCAGCTGAGGAAATGGAAGCACAGAGAGGGCGAGTCACCCAGCCAGTAAATGGCAATGCCCGAATTTGTACCTCCTGGTTACAGTGCCTTTTAAGACATGAGGGATAACACAGCTGTGGGACTTTCAGTACTTATCTTGTCTGCCTGTACCAACATTTATGGTCGCCATAATGAAAGAGCAGAGAAAAGAACGGGGGGGAAAAACAGGACTCCTCCTGCCCAATTCAAGACCGGTAGCGAGCCGTTCTTGTTTACTTTTGGGTGTGTTCCCAGCACCAGGCTATAAAGAGAGAGGAGGAACAGGCAGGCGAGGGCCCTCACCCTTCAAACGCTTGGCATTTCCATCCCCGCTGCAGCCTGCCTTCTGATCCAATGAGATAAAACACTCGCGCAGCCAGAGCTGTCCCAGTGGGGTTCATTTGGTTTCCACAGGCACATCTAATGTGGTTAAAGAGTGGAAGTCATTAAGGAGAAAAAGTGCACCGCGGTAACGACCTTCATTCTTGTGCCCAAAGCAAACACGAATGTTTGCCGTCAGTTCACTCGAGATGGTGCCTGACCCCAAACCTGGCGGTTAGAGCTCTGGAGGGCATCCGTGACTCAGCGCACCCTCTCGCCGACCTGTCCTTTATGTTTGGGTTTCCTTCCAATGTGTCACCAAGGAGGGCAAACAGGACTCAGCCACACACAAGCAGGCATTAGCATGCGTGCACTCATTCGAGATCCGTGGGTTTTGACCTCTTTCATCTCACAGCACACATAATCCCGTTACTGAAATTCTGCAGCCCACCCAAAAGTCTATTCTTTTGCCGATC